GAATCCGGAGTTGAACCCAGCTCTGACCGGTTCCAGGTCTGACCTTCCGTAATACCCATCCCACCACTATTAAAGGAGATGGAGACCAGAGAGATGGGCTTTTCTTTTTTTTAATTAAGCTTCCCCTTTCTGCCTGCCTGACACTTCCTTGCACACCCCACCAGAAGGAGCAGGTTTTCTCTCATCTCTACATTCTTGCTGCTCAAAGTCACAGCTCAGCATCACCTAGGAGCTTGTTAGAAATGCAGAATCCTGGGCCCCACTCCAGACCTACTGAATTGGAACCTGAATTTTGACCAGATCTCTAGTGATGTGTGTGCACACAGAAGTTCGAGAAACCCAGCTCTGCTTCAAACCTACCCCCCTCGTCCTTCCTGGTTCCAGCCTCATGGCTAAGCTTTACTGGCAGGTGAGGTAATGGAGAGAAAGGTCAGCCTCATCCTAAGGAGATCTAAGTTAGGAGATAACTCCCGATGCTTTTTCACTAGCCTTTAAAACTTGCCTCCAGGCCCTAGCAAAATTGTAGGATGGGTTATAAAACAGGTGTGTAAGCCTTTGGAAATAGTTTGCATAGTTGGGTGGCTAACATTTGGAACCCACTATGAGTTCACTGTAAGAAAAAGAATCATTCAAAATTGACCACATTTTCTTTTTATGAAAAGTAATTAAAAGTTTATTATAGAAAAGTGTAAAGACTCTGATGAGACAAGATGATGTGAAATGTTGAACTGATGAATTGAATTGATGGTAGCTGAATTGATTCAAGGACTGATAATTGATTGTATAGTGACTGGAGAGGTCTCGCTATCATCCAGTCTGGGGTGAAGTCTTTACACTGTTAGACTGCATTTGTGAGAAATGCAGAATCCTGGGCCCCACTCCAGACCTACTGAATTGGAACCTGAATTTTAACAAGATCTCCGGTGATGTGTGTACACACGGAAGTTTGAGAAACCCAGCTCTGCTTCAAACCTACCCTCATCGTCCTTCTAGTCTCCAGCCTTCTCCTTGTCAAAATGGTTGTTAGTGACTTGGGACATGTGAGGGGCTTTCCACTAGAATTTCTTATGGACATATTATATAGCTATAGTTCATGGCAGATTGATTATTCTATAATCAGGCTCCATTAAGAAGTATGTTAGGTCAGTTTATGGGGGCCTGGATGCAGGCTCCAGGACAGATGTATTGTCCCTCTATGAGCCAGACTAAGAAAATTTGAGCCTCACAGGCAGTGTGGACAAAGGGAAGGGCAATGCCAGAGGTCCAACCATGGGGCAGACAGTAAGGGGGCATTGTCTGCACAGAATTTAAAAACAATAACAGAACTGACTTTTAAAAACCTGACTAAAAGATTCTGTTTTTATTATCACCATGCACCAGTAATTCTAAACAATGTCAGGGATAAAATACTCTTCCTTGGGAAAAAAGAAAAACTGTGTTTATCTAAGTTCTAAACAATTGCCGTGGCATAAACTTCAAACTGGCACATTTTAAAATCACATAACCCTTAATAAACATTGTATTCTGCCTGGGAGCTAATCCGGGAGGCTCTCAGTTGGCCCCTAACACATGTTCCCAAACACTATATGTTTGTTGCAAGAACAATTTCTTAAGATTCACAATTGCTTGAGCTTATGAAGGCCACAGCTCATGTCTCCAACCCCTATGCTATTATCTCTTCCTGAAGTTTAAGTGTATTAGAAATAAGCAGACCCCAGGGGTGCCTAGATGGCTCAGTTGGTTAAGCGTCTGACTTCAGCTCAGGTTATAATCTCATGGCTCATAGGTTCAAGCCCTACATCAGGCTCTGCGCTGACAGCTCAGAGCCGGGAGCCTGCTTTGGATTCTGTGTGTCTGCCCCCCGCCCCCACTTACGCTCTGTCTCTCTCTCTCTCTCTCTCAAAAATAAATATTAATTTTTTTTAATTTTAAAAAAGAAAGAAATAAGTGGAGCTCACAAAGATAAAGCAGAAGAACTTTTGTCATTCTAGGTGACCACCTGGAGTTTGTGGTCCTCTTTAAAATGTGAAACTGTGAAATGGTGCGAGAACTGCAATGCATAATATTTGGTAGGTGTAAATTCCAGTTTCAACACGAAAGATGTATACAAATGTGAATATATGTGTACAAATAAAAATATGAGAATATAATGCTTGAATGTTCTAAAAATATCAGTTTGGGTATAAAATGTTAGGGCAATCCAGTGCGGGTTTGTTCCCTGATGGACATCCCTAGGGCAGATAGGCATGGAGTTCCAAGTGACAAGTCACAAATGGCAGCCTGCATGATCACACTTGCTTCTAACTCTCCCCTCTCCAGACCATTTCCCTTTCTTTCCTGCCTTGGGTTTGTATTCCTGGTCTGAGTCCTGATACCCCAGATGCGAGAATCTGCTCCTCCTTCCCCATCCCAAACTAAGAGATGCTCTCAGACTTGGAGATGACTCATGGCTTAGCATACTGTTATAAGTGATGAAAAACTGAAAGCTCAAAATGATTTTGACCGTTTGGAATACCATAAAGGTGAAGACCCCACTTCAGGTTAAAAAATTCAATGTCATGAGGAAATTTGGGGGAATGTGGATAGGTTCACTGTCTTGGTCATGTTGATGGTTTCACAAGTATATGCACATGTCAGAGTCTACCAAATTAAAGATTTTGGATATGTATGTCAGTCATACTTCAAGCTATTTAAAAAAGGTAGCATCATATGGACAAATGGAGGGAAGCTCTGATTTGGCTGTGTGCCTTTGAGAAAACCTGGGACGTACCAGTGACTAGATTTTTAATTTTATCTCAAATAACTGAGTTTTTTGCAGGAAAGCATTTATAGCACCACACCTGGATACCATACTCTGTTCTTGGCCCTGTAATTATAAAACTCTGTGACCCAGTATCCACCCTTGAGTGGCCAGGAGACAGGATTTGGAGCCTCACTGGGATCCAAATTACTTGGGTTCTGCAGCAATTCAGTCTCTGCTGAAGAACTTCACATTTCTGCCAGAGAATGCCATCTTGACTTGAGGCAGATAGGAGAAATTCATAGCTCCCCATTTCTAGGGGTTTGAAGATTCCACTAAATGGTCAGGGTCCTGCATGAGCCTATCTGCTCTGTTCTGCTGGAGCACTCATGACAAATGACCTTCTCAAGCAGGGAATACCCTCTGTGGTATAGCTACAATGGGCTGCAGATTCTGTGCAAATATAGCATATTCTAAATATGCTAGTGTAATTCTACTCTTCCTCTCCCATTGGGAAAGCTTAAGGGATTGCATGGGAGTGAGGAAGACATTATTAGGGGGATAACTTTGAACCTGCTCTAAACTTATAACCACTAACCTTCCATGCCCATGAGTATTTCATGATTAGTAACAAGTTATTAGCAACACACCTCACAGCAGATGGGGACACAGCAGTGTGTTGATTTGGCCACCCAGTGGCTGAAAACTGGACTCCAGGAAGCTCAGGACCTAGCTTACAGCAATAGCCTGAGCAGTGCCCTCAGTTTGGCTCTCTACCTCTCTCCATTTCTTGATGCCCTCCTGGGGCCACAGGGCCTGACCTTTGGTCTCCTTGAGCCCAGCGCCCTAGCATTGGTCACTGAATCTTGCTTGATTGCCCTGCTGCACCCACTTTCCTTCGGCTACAGGGACCCACTGTGGGCGCATCAGAGACTGGAATAGGACTGTTGAAGGAGCTGGGAGTGAGAGGGCGAATGAAAGGGAGTCACAGCAGCGGTCTTCAGATTCTTGCATCACTGACCTACCTAGGCCTGTTCCACTGGACAAGGATCCAGAGAGCCGAATTCGATGATAGGAGTATGTTTCTCAGGAAGGCAAATTCAGGCTGAACTCAAGGAGGAAATCTGCAACAATTAGGACTGGCCAACAATGGATTAACTGTTCTTGGAAACAGTGTACTCTATTTCACTATGGGAACTTAAAAAGTGCAAGGTCAAGGATGGACACAGGGATTTCTGTGTTTGTATGTTCTATTGAAGGTTCTTTCTTCAGGACCTAGCCTTCTGTGATTCCAAAAGCTCCTGTTTTCCTATACTTTTGAGATGCCTCTTTAGACCGTAAACTCCAGTCTGAGTTCACATACCCATTTTTTCCCAGGGAGCTCAGTGTTTCTGCTCATACTGCTGAGCTTGTTTTCATCATTTTTCTGCTTCAGTGGCCAGGGTTTCTTTTCTCCACATTGCAGAGATACTGAGATATTGCGCATCACGCCAGATTTCACTCACTCTTGGTATTAGGTTTCCATCATACTAGCCTGTGCTGTTTTCTGCCTGAAAGACGGCTCTAACCTGGGAGACACGAAGCTCTCTCTTGGGAACACTGGGGGGTGGGAAATACGGGGTAAGGAACCTCATCTGCCTATTCATCTCTCCCTCTCCCACTGAGTGGGCAGGCATGACCTTCCATGTCACTTCCACTCTCTCTCTCTGAGTCAGGAGAATACAGCGGGTAACCTCCGTGACATCAGTAACCTTGTAATTGTTACCCTTGCAAAACACACGGAACTGTGACATACATCAGAATGCGCAGACCCCATTTTGCAAAAAATACATCATGTTTCACGTCCCATCATATTGTAGGTAGTTATGAGTTTTATTCTTCAAGGGAAAGGGGCATTGCCTTTCAAGAACAAGAGGGTCATGTCACACAGAGTGCTATGGTACCAGTGACCTGTGGCTTTTGGCGAGGGAACCATAAGGAATTTCCACCTAGTCCTTTGGCCTGGAAGACTTCCTGGGCTCCTCAAGTGTCTGTTCCAGTGTGTTCCAGGAACACCCCATGGGGCCGCTATCATAGCTTTCTCATGCAGGTTATGTATTCTCAGTGCCTACCGCATATGGGTCTAAATCTACACTTGCAGAATTAAATTGAAAGGCTTATATGCAGCGTGCAGTAGTGTCCCCACGTTGGGGTCCAATGTCCAGTGCAGTCCCTGTTTGCTGTGCCACCCCCAGTCACTTGTTTCTCCCTTCATTCCCAGCCTTGTTAACTTTGTGTGCCATACCTGCTTCAAGAGGCAGGAGAAGCTTCATCGCTGTGGACAGTGCAAGTTCGCCCACTATTGTGACCGCACCTGCCAGAAGGATGCTTGGCTGAACCACAAGAACGAGTGTTCGGCCATCAAGAGATATGGGAAGGTGCCCAATGAGAACATCAGGTCAGAGCTGGGCCCCGGGGCTAGTGTTTGGGATTCCCAAGTGTCAGGTGGGGAAGGCGTTAGTGACAAGCATTCCCAGGCCCAAGGAAGCCAGGCTGAGTGCAGATCAGGGTAGAGCCTCAGAGAGACTGGATAGGGGCATCTCTGTGCATTGCCTTTAGGTGTGGGAGCCCATCTAGAACTGGGTGTCTGTGGCCATGGTTTTAGTCCACAACCCCTCTAGACTTGACTGCAGACCTGTTCTCAATGGCTCCCTAGTGTTTAACTTTAAAAAAATTTTTTTTGATCTGCCAATGTTTAAAAAAATTGGAAAATTCCACATTAAAAAAATTAGGATTTCTGGTTTCTCTTGAAAAAAAAAATCTGAAGATTTGGCAAAATGAGCTAGAGCTCAACAGCAGCTGAGCTATTTAATTCCAGCAGAATTAAACACACAAAAAAGCAGAGCTTTTTTTTTAAAGGTTTTATTTAAATTCTAATTAGTTAACATACAGTGTAATATTATTTTCAGGTGTACAATGCAGTGATTCAACATTCCCATACATCACCCGGCACTCATCACAAGTGCGCCCCTTGATCCCATCACCTATTTCATGCACCCACCACTCTGGTAACCATCACTTTGTTCTCTGTGGTTATATAGCAGCATATCTGCAATAGTCAAATTACAGAAACAGCTCAAGTGTCCATCGACTGATGGATGGACAAGGAAGATGTGGTATATATACACAATGGAATATTACTCAGCCATCAAGAAGTGAAATCTTGCCATTTCCAGTAAAATGGATGGAGCTAGAGAGGATTATGCTAAGTGGAATAAGTCAGATTTCACTCATGTGGAATTTAAGAAACAAAACAAATGAACAAAGGGAAAAAACAGACAGGTAAACCAAGATAAAATGCAGAGCTTTTCAAGTAACCATAGACCACTAGTCCCTTGGCTTGTGCACACAGCCCTCTGCACTCATTATACGCGAAAGACATTCACAACAGTTAGTGGCATCCCCAGGGCGGCTGCGGCCAGGAATCTCAGGGCCAACACCACAAGATAGGGCTGCAGGTCAGTGCTTGGGAGGTGGTGTTGGAGAGCAGAGGAGATGGGGAAGGTGAAGTTGGGACCATTTTCAGTGGGTAGGGTGGGAAGTTCAAGTACAGAATGGAATCATCATATCCTAGTAATTTTTAGGAAACTACAAAATGAAATGGCTCAGTCAGCCTCCCCATCCCCGTAGTTCCACCTGTTGAAATCCTGCTTCTTTAAAAACATGTTCTTTTGCAATTTTATTTTATTTTCATGTTTTAAAAATTTCAGCTTTATTGAGGTACAATTGGCATATAAGATCATAAGATATTTAAGGTGTACATAATGATGATTTGATGTGTGTATACAATGTGAAAGGACACCTCCCATCTAGTTAATTAACATACCTATCACCTGACATATTTATCCTTTTTTTCCCCAAGTGAGAACCTTTATGTTCTACTCTCTCAGCAGATTATAATTATACAGTACAGTGTTGTCAACTGTAGTCACTATGTTTTACATTAGATCCTCAGACCTTATTTATCTCCTAGCTAAAAGTTTGTGCTTTAACTAGCCTCTCCCTGTTTCCCCCACTACCCAGACCCTGGAAACCACTTTCCTCTGTTTCTATGAGTTTGACTTTTTCCTTTTCTTTTTTAAGATGCCATACATAACTGATACCATGCAGTTTTTGTCTGTGTCTGGTTTGTTTCACTTAGCATAATGCCCTCAAAGTCCATCCATGCTGTCTTAAATGGAAGGATTTCCTCCTTTCTCATGACTGAATAGTATTCCATTTTATACATATATATATACTGTATATATATTATATACACATGTATATTATATATATTTATATTATATAATCATATATTATATTTATATATTATATATACAGTATATATATGTGTATATATATATATCTACACACACACACACACACACACCACATTTTCTTTATCCATTCATCCATTGATGGACACTTAGGGACCATTTCCCTAATATTTGGAGGCAACAGACACCCTACTGGAGCCTTATTTTCTCCAGTGCTGTCCTGAGCTCCATGTGGGGATACCTCAGTTCCCAGGCACCTGGGATTGCCAGCAGGGCATCTTTTCAGAAATAACTCTGTGACCCAAACGAGAGGAGAAATGGGCCTGTTATTTGCCAAGGAGGTCCCTCAGGGACAAGATCTGCCTTAGGCCCCCACCCCCTTGCAGGTGCTTGGCCAGCATGCATTCAATGAGTAGCCGAGAGTTGCCAAAATGCCCTCAGTCATAGGCTTCATCTAGTGGGCATAGGCTACCAAATAGATAACCCTCACTGTCCTCAAGATGAACTTCACCCTTCTGTCTCACACTCCACACCCTGTGCTCTCCAGGGCTCCCTCCTATCCCACCTTGCCTCCCCTCCTCCTTCAGAGCCCTCTGCTTCATCCAGGCCAGCCCCCTCCCCTCCCTGCTTCCTGCATATGCCAAGCCTGTAGCTGCCTCCGAGCCTTTTCTTATACTGTTTCCCCACCCAGATTGTCTTTCCCACCTCTTTCTTTAATCACTAAGACTACAGATAAGTTCACACACATGTAGACATCTGTTACACCACTTTGTCTTCCAAATATTATGTCAGGGGATACGTATTATCATCTTTTACTGGCCCTTAGATAGGTCCAGGGAATTGCCCAAGGTCACATAGTAAGTGGAAATGGATTTGAACCCAGGTTGTTAGACTCCTTCTCTAGTGCTCATCTCAGTTAGCCATATTATCAGGAGAGACCCAGGATGCCATACCTCAGTGTCCCCAGATGCCTTTTTCATGGTCTCATAGACCCCACATGACCTGGCTCCTGCCCACCTCTCCATCTTTATTTGTTCTCCACTCCCTACTCACTATGCTCCACCCACCTTGGACTTCCTGCTGTTTCTCCATCATTCCAAGCCCATTCCTTCTTCAAGGTCTAGGTACTCACTGCTCCTTCCCATCTGCACAGAGCCAGCTCCTAGTCATTCCATTTTCAGCTTGAGTATCATCCTCAGTATCACCTCCGCTAATCACCTTGGCATCCCTTCCCCCAGTCACCCTCTACTATGTTTTTATTCTACCCTAGTTTATTCTTTGCGTTGCACTTAATGCTAGTTTAAATTATTATTTTTTAAACTAAGGTCTCCCCACTATAAAAGGGATAGTGAGGGATGGGCATTGAGGAGAGCACCTGTTGGGATGAGCACTGGGTGTTGTATGGAAACCAATTTGACAGTAAATTTCATATTAAAAAAATTAATAAAAGAATAAAATAAAATAAAGGCTCCATGATAAAAAGAAATTCCATATATGTAGGTCAGCCCTGTGCCTGACATGCATTAGGCGCTCAGTAAGTGTTTGTTGAATGAATGACTGTGCTGGGGCATCCCTAACCCTGCCCCTCTCCACAGGCTGGCGGCCCGCATCATGTGGCGGGTGGAGAGAGAGGGCACTGGGCTCACAGAGGGCTGCCTGGTGGCTGTGGATGACCTGCAGAACCACGTGGAGCACTTCGGGGAGGAGGAGCAAAAGGAGCTGCGGGTGGACGTGGACACTTTCTTACAGTACTGGCCGCCCCAGAGCCAGCAGTTCAGCATGCAGTACATCTCACACATCTTTGGCGTGGTATGATCCCCCATAAGGTGGCGGGGGTGGGAGGTGGCAGCTGGGATTGGTCAACCAAGAAGTATTCAGAGGCTACCAGGCTGGAGCAGGGGAGGGGAGGCCGAGAGAAGGACCAGAGGGGACAGAGGCCCAAAGTGAAGAACTTTCATCCCATTTCTGTTGTTCTGGCCTTGCTTGCCAGAAAGTCATTCCCACCTTATCAGAAGCAGGCATCCCACACACAAACTGTTGGTTATCCCTGCATGGTAGATTTAGATAGGAATTGACCTTCTTATTTATCTGTGCTTTCTACTTTCTCTGGTTTATACTGAGAGCAAAGACCCAATCACCATCCCTTGTTGCCCAAGTCACTCTGGAAATGAGATCCTTCCTTTTCCCAGGTATGGTAGGCAGGATAATGGAGAGCCTGGAGTCGTGTGCTATGGACATTAGGGAGACAAGAGGAAGGACTTTTGGAGAGAGCTGCCTTGGAGCAGCAAAACCATAGCTCTTGTAGCCATAAGAGGCCAAAGCATGGGGGTAGGAGCTTCATGGATCAGCAGGTTCAGGCCTTGGGTTCTGGGGGTAGATGTCTTCCAACTGGCGGGTCTTCCTTCTGTGGTGCTGATGAGTGGGCTAAGGGGGGAGGTTACTGTAATAACAACAATAGCATGATCATACTCTACATCGCCTGTCCTCACCATGTGCCAGAACTTCTGTGATAGAGCGCTCTAGAGAAACAGAACCAATAGTGCGTGTGCATGTGTGTGTGTGTGTGTGTGTGTGTGTGTGTGTGTGGAGAGAGAGGGAGAGAGGGAGGCAGGGAGGGAGGAAGAAGAGATTTATTTTAATAAATTGGCTCTTGTGATAGTGGAGACTTAGTAAATACAAAACCTGCTGGTAAGCTGGCAGGCAGGGGGCCTGAGAAGAGTTACAGTTCAAGTCCAAAGGCAGTCTGCTAGCAGAATCCTTTCTTGTTTGGGGGAGGTCAGTCTTTGTTCAGTTATAAACTTCAAAAAGGAAAAGAACCATATCATCTTGTCAATAGGTGCAGAAAAAGTATTTGACAAAATACAGCATCCTTTCTTAATAAAAACCCTCAAAGAAATTGGGATAGGAGTAACATACCTTAACCTCATAAAAGCCATATATGAAAAGCCCACAACTAAAATCATCCTCAATGGGGAAAAACTGAGAGCTTTGCCCCTGAGATCAGACAGGGATGTCCACTCTCACCACTGTTGTTTAACATAGTGTTGGAAGTCCTAGCCTCAACAATCAGACAACAAAGTGAAATAAAAGGCATCCAGATTGGCAAAGAAGA